CTGTGTGGTGAGAGGTGAACAACTGCAGAATAATAGCTTGGGGCATGCAGTGGCACGCAGTGGGTCGCTCATTTATTAGCTACAGCAGAAAGCTGTCTCGGATGCGGCCCAGCCATCCAACATGGTGTCAGCGTTTCTTTGCTTAACTCCACAGTCACTGCAGAGATGGAGGGTTTGTCCCCACCCAAACTGGGGTCCTCTTGGATCTGCAAAGAGAACATGTCTCAGATAAGTTAAAGCTGGCCTCTTTCTTAATTCACAGTAAGTGAGCCCTACTTAGTTTGTTGGCCTGTTTAGAGAGACTCTTCGCTGAGAGGTACAGGGAAGCTTTTGGTCTTGAGTCACTTAGCACTGGGCGAGAGAAAGGAATGCTCAAAAGGCCCGGCTACTTCATTTCAGCAGTGTATTGGAATGGAACTGATGTCCAAGTGTAAGGCTCAGTTACCTTCAACATCATAAGTATTTAGCACTCCAAGCAGAAAAATACTGCGTTTTATACTTGAACAATGAGAAGTAGGCTTTATGGGGAACATTAAACAATCTTTTGGCTGTAGGAAAAACATTTCAACTTCTAGTTATAGTTATTTATCTTTAAAAAAGGAAGAATCAGCTTTGTTAGTATTGAAATTTGAGTTGTACCGCTCACTTTTTCCATCTTCCTATAAGCTGTTGCATTTCTGGGTACTAACTTTAACTAAACAAACCATAACGAAATGGATACGTGACTTTAAAAGATTCTGAAAGAATATCAGTGAGGATAATGAGGCAAGGGCATGTGAAGGGAAAATGAGAGCTGACACTTCTCAACTGGCTAAAGAAGCTAGGCTGGCTGTACTGTGAACACTGATAGCTTACCCTACCAGCCAAGAAGTTGGTGAAAGTTACTGAATAGATCCTGAATGCACATCTACTGCTAAGTTAAATTTTTCACAAGTGTACAACTTAAAAATAACAACATTCTACATTTGTCTCATTGTTTTCAAACTTCTACCTTCAGTAATAATTTTTATTCTGATCTGCATGTATACCTTTGTGCACAAGTACATAATTGGGGATATACCTTACTTATACTGGTCCTAGAACTTTGCTGGCTGATTGTAAGATGGCAAGTATGGCACTGACTCATTCCTGCTCCCCACTTTCTTTCTCATGGGCCTGACAATAGACGTACCTTCATTCTGGAGTAGGCAGGTGGGGACAGCCATACGGCTGATGCTGTTGAGGAGGTTTTTGATTATCCACTCTCCAGTCAGGTCAACCAGGCGTGGCAAGAGAGACTGTGGAGGGGATACCTCAGTTCAGACTCATGCCTACCATGTTTACCAGGCTTTACTTCTATGGTGGGTGGCTTTTAAGGGCTACATAACACATATTGCATTGGATTCTACACAGCACATTTCTGGCATCATCTCTTAAGCTTCTGTTTGAACACCTCCAGATGTCAGGATAGTATGAGAGGTGGCACATGATGAAGGCAGACATACCCTGACTCTTAGGAAAAGTGCAGCCTAGCAATAGTGGTGCGCACCTTGTTTAAAAGTGAACAGAAAACTGGTTGAATGTAGGTTCCACTACTTGCCTAACCTGTTTCCTCCTCTGAAATGGCGACAATTTTAGCCTAGCTCACAGGTTTGTTGGAGGACTAAATGAATCAGTACAGAAAGTGGCTCTAGCCTGTGACTCGGCTCAGAGGAAGTTGTAATGACTGGGTATTAGACACACTGTTATCCCACCTTTCAAAGCGTTTCAATTATTGTTAAGTTTTCTTCAACTGAATTGAATAATAGTCCAATTATGAAAATGGTTAAATAAACAGTTTCAAAAGGAAAAATAAAAATGGCTAACAAATACATGGAAATGTTCAACACCTTTAGCTATAAAGGAAATTCAAATCATCATAAGATTCCATTTTTGGCCAGTTAGAATGGCTAGCATCAAGAAAACAAACAAATGCTGGCAAGGATGCGGGGGGAAAAACGGACATTTATATACTGTTGGTGGGAATGTAAATATATGCAGCCCTATGGAAATCAGTATGGAGGTTCCTCAAAAATTAGATTAAAAGTACCATGATTCTGCTATACCATTCCTGGGCATTTATCCAAAGGAATATAAGTCAACATACAGCTGAGATACCTGCACACCCATGTTTATAGCAGCACTATTCACAATAGCCAAAATGTGGATCAGCCTAGGTGCCCGTCAATTGATGAATGGCTAGATTATGTGGTATATAAACAAAATGGACTATTATTCAGCCACAAAGAATGAAATTATGTTGTTTGAAGGAAAATGGATGAAGGTAGAGACCATGCTAAATGAAATAAGCCGATTGAGAAAGACAAATACTATATGTTTTCTCTCATATGTGGAATCCAGTTCTTAAAAATGAATGACAAGAATGTGAAACAGGTTCTGTTTGGGGGTAGGTGCCAGTGGGAAGGGGGGGCGGCTAAAAGGAGAGGATGATGGGGGGGAGTGAATACTTTATAATAATGCATGAAAATATAACCATGAAACTTGCTGAAAAATTTTTAAGAAGGAGGGGGATGGGAAATGAGGGGGAGGAATAGAGGGGGAGAATTTGATCAGGGTACATTGTATGCATGTGGAAACATCATAATGAAATCCTTCTGTACAACTAATATATGCTAACAAAAATGTAAAAACAAAAAAATAATTATTTTAAGAGTTTCACTTTCTGTTTTAGATATTTCTATGATTTTTTGACAACATGCTTTTATAATAATTTTTATAATCAGAAAAAAAATTAAAGAGTGGAATTAAAAAGAAAAAGCACAACACATAGGGTTTGGTTTGGGACTACAATAGTTTCCTTTGATTTTTGGCTAAAGTCTGGTCACTGGTGGAGCTGGCGCTAGGAGCAGGGTGAAGAAGTACAGACAGATGTCTCAATACTCACTCTGATTTGCTTGGGCTTCAGTTCTCCAAGAAGATCTGTTTAAGAGAGAAAGATGAGGAAAACAATGGAAAAGAGATGAGGCGAGTTTTCTGATAGTGAGAGAGACCCTTGGACCTCAGTCTTTGCCTTTTCTCTGATATTCACACCTCCTAGCAGGAAAGAATCTCACAAATCCCTCCCTCCAAAAAAGCAATTTTTTCATTGTTTTACAACACTCAGTGACATTAAGACTGCTAGTGCTGCCAGTTAGTTTTTATAGTTTAGGACAAAAAGAATGAAAAGGCTTAATGCATTGTAATATTAGTGTGCTATTGTTTCCAAAGACACACAGAAAAGATCAACTGACCTCTATTTTACTGGACACCGCCTACACAGAGTATTGCATGCTATGCAAAAGCCTACAAACAGACCTGACTACTGCTAGAGCAAACAGGTCACAGTCAGATGTGACAGTCAGAGAAGTCAGAGAAAGAATAAAACATGGTCACTTATAAGAAAGTTCTAAGTAAACAACAAATCCTTGGTAAAAAGGCATTTTCAGTTATTGCTATTAGAGAGGACTGCTCCAGACATGTGGTAAGCAATAATTAGTTCTACTTAATTTTTTGTGTTTAAAAGGATCTGCCCAAGTTGGGAGCCAGCAGTTCATGCCTATAAGCCTAGATATTTGGGAGGCTGATATCAGATTGAGATTCAAGGCCAGCCCCAGAAAAAGTTAGCAAGACCACATTTAAACCAGTAACTAGGCATGGTGACATGCACTGGTCATCCCAAGCTATGCGGGAGGCTAGCTAATCAGGAGGATCATGGTAGCAGACTAGCCAAGCTTATCTGCTTGTGAGACTCCGTCTTAATAGAAAAGAGCTGATTGGGGTGATATGTACCTGTCATCCAAGCGATGGTGGGAAGCTTAAAATAAGAGGATTGTGGCAAAAAGGGAGACCTTATCTCCAAAATAAGCAGAACAAAAGGGGCTGGAGGTGTGGCTCAAGTGGTAGAGCCTCTGCTTTAGTAAGCATGAAGCCCTGAGTCCAAACCTCAGCACAAACACACACAAAAAAAGGATCTTGCAGACAATTCACAAAAGAAATTAAAAAAACTACTAGTAATTACTAGTGTCAAAGATATGTAAGTTGAAACAAGAGACCATTTGGCATTTGTGGAACTGTGGAAAAGCATAAGAAAAAATCCCTTCAGTGAAGGTGCAGGGAGTCCCACTGATGGAAAAAGAGTTGGTGCAATTTTTTTGATCGCCAACTGGATAATACAAGGCCGGAACTCAGTATGTTCATGGCCTTTAACCTAGTAAGGAAATAATTAAACACATGAGCACAGTTTCCACTATAAACAGCTCACTAAAGTGAGACACTGCCAATATGCTAAATGTTTAACACTAAGGAATTTAAAATTTATACCCAATTCCTTCATGTAATGGAATAAATTTTACCTTTAACTATTAAAAAGACATTGAAAGTAACTAATTAATTGGAATTTGAGTGATATTAATACTGCTTACTGAAAAGAAGCATGGCCTCATCCTTTTTTGCTAAAATCAAAAACAAGCTATCAACCCCTCTACGTATGTGTAAAGAGAAACAATAAACAAGTCCTGAAAGGCTGTCCATTAAGGAATTAATACTAATAACTTCTGGGTGATGGAACTATATAGGTGTCTTATTTTCTTCTTTTAGCTTACCCGTATTTTCTAAGTTTTCAACAATTAACGTATTTCTAGAACAGGAATAAAAATAATAAGAAATATGAAAGTTAGAAGGAACTCTCAAAAATGAGCACTTACACATGTTCTAGGATGATTTTTGTCAAAAGGTTTTTGAGATTTTGGTGGAAATTTTCTGGAAAGAGAGCCAGAACGGCCTCGGCTGAAGACAGGTCATGGAATGCCACCAGTCTAGTGAGGCGATGCAGAGCCTGGAGCAGCTGTAGGATACAGAGGGCAGTCCTGAAGCTTCAGGAGAAGCAGGGAGCAGGGTGGAGCTCCATATCCCATCCCATGGCTACACAGTGCCACAGTGACTCAAGTCGCAGGAGTATGGAGGGCTCTATGGTAGATGCTGGTGCCCCACATATCTCCACCACTCCCAGTTCACCCACTGCTCTAGAAGACAGGTGCAAGCTGCCTGACCTAGGAAGCTGCTAGCTTGTCAGAAATCCTTAGCTTGTAAGCAAAGGGTTAAGACATCCCTTTTCTTTCTGTGGGAGAATCTGACCTTCAGTTAACTTTCTGGTGCTGTTTCCCTGGTAACCTGAGAGAAATGGAAAGTCATCTGGGTTACTAGGCAACCCTGCATTGGTCCAGTGCCTCTGGACTGAGAGGACTGCATAAACACCTGGGGCCCACAGCGCTGGGCACCCTAAATGGGGTTGTACACTCCTTGCAAGAACCTGAAGCTATACTTATTGAATTGTGACAAGATATATTGGGTCCTGTGGCATTTGGGCTTTGAATCCAGGGTGACAGAAGTCTCATGCCCTTGCCCTTAAGTTGTTACAAAGGAGGGAAAACAAAGAAAATGAAACAGCTCCTATAGGCCATGTGGACTCCCTCTGTGAAAGAGGAGTACTGGATCCCACCCTGCTATGTATTACCATTCTACACTTTTTTTTTTTTTGCAGTGCTGGGGATTGAACCCAAGGCCTTGAACATGCTTGGCAAGGGCTATACCAATAGGCCACATCTGGAGTTACCATCTTATGTCTTTCTATGTAGATCTGTAGCCACTTGTGGATTATGGTTGATTTGTGAATATGATGATGCTTAGCTGAATCCAGGAAAACTCTGGAGGTACCTGTTTCTCTGCTTTAGGGCTTTTTCTGTTCTCACTGAAGGTTGTCTGACTACTACATATGGACATAACCCAGAAGTGAGGGGAAGTTAACCCTCCAACAGTGAGGGTGGGAGTTAGTGTTACAGTGGTAACTCCTCATGAACATACCATTTTACTGGTTTATCTCCAGTCCCTGCTGGATTTTCCCCAGTCCCTCCTTTGTACTTTTCTAGAATCACCACCCAGATCACCAGCTATACCCAAGTCCTTGCCTCATGTCTATAAAAGAACCCAAACTAAGTCTCCAACTCACTTCTATAATCTTACTTCTGTTTTTTACTTTTCAATAGTTGGTTTCAACGAGCAAAGCTCTAGATTAAAAATAAAAATAACAACATAGATATATTTGGATGAAGCTACTCCTGTTTAGAAGCATACTGACCCAACGAAGTTAAGCTGTCACTGCTACATAACTTCACTATGAGTCACCTTACTCTTCATCTTGGCCACTTGCTGAGATGGGGGGGTGGGGAGGTGGAGCTGAGCAGATTTCCTTAGGGCAGAGGAATGAAAAGGGAGAGTGGTACACAAAGCACCCCAAGGCAGCCTGATGGAACCCACTAGTGTGTAGTCCCTGATGCCACTCAGGTCCACCCTCCTGTCCACAGAGCCCTAAAAGGTCTGCCTCAAACTATCCAGTTGCCAATTCATCAAATCTGCAAGTCAAAGGCTGGAAAAGAAAATCACAAAAAGGTTGGCTTTTGTCCACAATGTCAAGGTAATAAGTTTGAAAAGAAGATGGTCAGGAGCCCTGATTATTTATCATAAGGTTCTTATTTATCTTAAGTAAGGTTTAAAGACAAAAGCTTTACAATTAATTTGGTTTTTAAAATGTCTATCTAAAGTTTGCAGTAATGTCAACAGCTATTTCAGAGAAAATTTTTCTTTGGATATGGGAATGACTAGTAAGTCAATACAGAGATTAACAAGTGACAATCGCTAGTTACCAAGGTTCTCTCTGACTACTTACTTGCTCTGCCTCCTCCTGGGTCACAGACAAGCTGGAACATGTAATATCCAAGAGTTTTTTGGAGTCAAGGGCTGAACTGGAAAAGCTCTCTTGACACAGCTGTCTGACAACATCTTTTGAGGATGCCTATGAATTAATTCACAGATGGGAAAAAAACAAAGTCAGACTTTGAAAACACATGCTTATCGTATTCATTTTTGACATCTTTGGGGCTTAAGACTTACAGGTACAAGGATACTTCCACTCATGGGAAGATGGATCAGATATACTTTTCCCTATTCTTTCTGTAAAGTACAACTAAAATCCCTGAGCACTTACAGAGATACGATGACTCTGAAAGGGGAAGAGAAGAAGATAGATGTGCTAGGACCTCAAGACTCAGGGAATAATATGATGGTGAGTTCCCTGGGCTTTCTTTTTCATATATCTCAGACTCCAAGCTGAAGAAGAGGGAAAGCAGAAAATGAAAATGGATACAGAAAAAAAAACCCCCAAAACCTCCAATAAATATCAGGTCTCTCCAGCCAAAGGACCAAGAAAGGGGCAGCCTAAAAAGACAGAAAACTTTTGTACAATAGCTGTGGATCCATCTTACTGATGTCTACAATGGCTGTGCTGGAAACCTAGACTTGAGTGGGAAGCCCTGTGAGGCAGTAATGGGGTGCCCCAACACCTCCACTAGGGTGATGTCAAGGCCAAGCAGGGAACTATCTTTATCCTTACCACCCATTCAAGTTGCACTACCCCATGGTATTAATGGAAACAGCTTCCACCCATACCCAGCAGTAACAAGAAACCCCTGCTTTCAGGTACCAATGGGAATCAAGTGGGGAACTTCAACTTCTACCACCCCTTGGCACCAATAAGATGGTGCCCCCATTGTACCTTTGATACCTGCCCGCACAGTATCAGAGAAAGCCAGCTAAAATATAAGATGTGAATAAGATCCAGAGTCTCAAAACATAATATGAACGTGTCCAAATTTTGGTAAAAATCACAAGAACAGAACAATCTCAAGCTGAATGAAAAAAGACAATCAATCAAAAGATGCCACAGGAAGCTGAAGCAGGGGGTTGCAAGTTCCAGTCCAGCCAGGGCTACATGGTGAGACCCTGTCTCAAAAACAAACAAAAAGATGTGAACACCAAGACAGCAGATGTTAAAATTATGAAAAAAAGATTTTAAAGCAGGTCTGATAGCAATATTTTAATAATTAGTTATGAACATGCTTGAAATAAAAAAGGAGGCAGTCCCAGCCAATAAACAGAAAATATTAAGAATAAAATAAAAATTTTGGAACTGAAAACTATAATAACCAAAACAACAATAACAACAACCAAAGTCAGCACATGAGCTGGATGCCGGTGGCTCATGCCTGTAATCCTGGCTACTCAGGAGGCAGGGATCAGGATTGAGGTTCAAAGCCAGCTGGGCAAACAGTATGCGACACCCTATCTAGAAAAAAAACCTACAAAAAAGGGCTGGTAGTTCAAGGTGTAGGCTCTGAGTTCAAACCCCAGTATTGGGGGGGAAAAAAAAACCCTCAGTAGATGGGCACAGCACACAACAGTATGAAAAACTACAACAGATCTAGACTGAAATCCTGATAGGAGACAAAAGAAGGCTGTACAAAAAAAGTATTAAAAGAAATAACAGCTCAAACATTCCAAGTTCAGCTAGAGACCTAATGGTTGTATATTTCAAGAACCAGTGCAAATTTTAAATAGAATAAATAATAAAAAAACTATACCAAGACATATCATAATTAAACTTCTACTGAAGTTCTACTGAAATGCAAAGAAATCTTGTAAGCAGTGAGAGAAACAACACTTCACCTAAAGTATAAACAATTACTATGACAACAGCTTAAATACCAGAAACCACAGAAGCAAGAAAAAAGTGGCAAAATATTTTTTAGGTGCTAAGAGAACTGTCAACCTAGAATCCTACAGCCAGGAAAAAGGTCTTTCAGGAATAAAGATGTTCACTGATATAAGAAAATCTGTCACAAGATCTACCCCAAAAGAATGGTTACATCAAGTTCTCTAAAGAGGAAAGAAATAACAGAAGTGCAAAGACAACTTGACCTGGTGGAACCATCTTGAGTTGTAACCTCCATGACTGCCCTGGTCTGTTTTCCCCGAGAAAGCAATGGAGTTTCATGGGGCGTTATGTGCGGAATCCTGGTTGCCATCAGCACTAATAACATGCCTGGCTTCTTTCTGTGGTCTCTCAGCACCTTCAGTCTATGGTGGTCAGTTCTTTTATACCAAATTTTCCTGGAACGAGAAGGAACCTTGGAATATCAGGTAGAAAGACAGAACAGGGAAAATGAAAATATGTGTAAAAACAATGTTTTCCATTTTTCCTAAACTGAAGGTTCAAGCAAAAATAATACTCTTTAATATATAGAGAGAGGATGTATACTATATGTATGTATGCATGTCTAAATGTATGTAGAGGAATATTAAGACAGTTATAAGTGAGGAAAGGTGAAGGGATATAGAGGAAGATAAGGTTTTCACATGTCACCCTAATTGATAAAATGATTACACCAATAGACTGATAAGCTACATATCTAGAGTAACAGCTTTAAAAGGCTATAAAAACAAATGTGTTTTAACTCAAATAAATCAAAACAATTCTAAAAAATGTTCAAAGAGCCCATGGTAAGACAGAAAAATGTAAAAAGAAACAAAACCCAAGAAAGTACAGAAAGAAAACAAAAAATAAAATGGCAGATTTAAGACCTAACATACAGATAATTACACTTACTATAACTCACTGTAAGAGGCCTAAATATTCCAATTAAGACACAGAAATTGACAGTGGATTAAAACTCTGACTCAGTTAAGTATTTCATACAAAAAAAACTCCCTTCAAATATAATATAGGTATCCTGAAAGTAAAAGGATAGAAAAAAATACTGTATGCAAACATTAAAGAAAAGCCAGAATGGTTACATTAATTTTAGATAAAGCACACTTCAAAAAAAGCAAATCAAAAAAGAAGGGGTGTATACAATGATAAAAAGTTCTATCCACCAACAAGACATTCTAAATGTATACACACCCAACAAAACAACTGTAACATATGTTAATCTCAAACTGACTTACTACACTTACATAGTAAGGAGAAAACAACAAAGTCATAAATATAGTTGGAGACATCAACACTCCACCTTCAAGAACTGACAGAATAAGTAGACAGATCATCAACAAAGTATAGGAGAACTCAACCCCATCACCAAACAGTTAACAGGTATGGAATACTTTACCAATAAACAGCAGAGTACACATTTAAGTACCCAGCAAACATATACCAAGTTAGATCATAACCTGGGCCCTAAAGCAAATAGAAATAACACTCTACTATTTCAGGTTTCAAATCTATTAAAGTTTGTTTTATGACCCAGAACATGATCTACCTGAATCAAATAAGAAATCAACAGCTGGGTGTGGTGGCTCATGCCTGTAATCCCAGCTACTAAGGAGGTGGAAATCAGGAGGATGACAGAGGCCAGTCCAAGAAAAAAGTTATTGAAATAGGGATTTCAACAAATAAGCTGGGTGTAGTGGCCCACATCTGCAATTGTAGTTACACAGAAGGCTGTGATAAAAGGCCAGCCTAAGCCAAAAGACTTGAGGTTCTACCTGAAAAATAAAGCAACAAGGACTGGAGGCATGATTCAAGTGATAGAGCACTTGCCTAGCAAGTGCAGGACCCTGAGTTCAAATCCCAGTACAAAAAAAAAATCAACCAAATGGAAACAGGAAAACATTAAACACTTAAAAACGTAAACACACTTCTAAAAAATCCATAGGTCAAAGAGAAAACCTCAAGGGAACCTAAAGAAAAATACAATGAAGGGCTGGCTTAGTGGCTCAAGTGGTAGAGCGCCTGCCTATCAAGTGTGAGGCACAGAGCTCAAATCCCAGTACTACCAAAAAAACAAAACAAAAAAACTCACTGAAAAATATACTGAATGAAAAATGCAAAAATAATATACCAATATTTGTGAGACACAGCCAATGATATGTTGAGAAGGAAATTTAAATTTAGAGCATTAAATATGTACATTAGAAAATGGAAAATATGCAAATTAATAATCCAAACTCCTACCTCAAGAACTTAGAATAAAAAGACATAATAAAGGGCTGGTGGAGTGACTCAAGCAGTAGAGTACCTGCCTAGCAAGCATGAGGCCCTGAGTTCAAACCCCAGTGCCACCAAAAAGAGAGAGAGAGAAAAAAAAAAAAGGAAGCAGAAGGAAGGAACAGCAAAGAACATAAATTGATGAAACTGGAAATAGAAAAATAAATGAAACAAAGAGCTACTTGTTTGAAAATGTCATTTAAAAAACAAGAGAAGACACAAATTACCAATATTAGAAATAAAACAGGGGTATCACTGTAGACCCTGCAAACATCAAAAGGACAATAAGGGACACCCAATGAACAACTCTATACATGTATAGTTGACAGCTTAAACAAAATGGACAAATTACTCAAGCAATGCCAACTATTACAACTCCTTGTGTATATGGCAGAGATACTTTGAATAGCCCTTTAACTATTAAGGAAATTGAATTAATAACTTTAAAACACTCAAAAAAGAAATACTTAAGCCTGATGGTTCCACTGAAGAATTTTAGCAAACATTTAAAAAAAGAATTACCCAATTTTACATAATCCCTTCTAAAAAACAAAAATAGGAGGAAACAATTTCCAATGCATTTGATGACTCATATTACCTTCATACCCAAATCAGATAATGATAGTACAAAAAAAGGAAGAAAAAAACCCGAAAACTACAGACCAATACCCTCATGAAAATAAATTTAAAAAATATGAATAAAAAAATCCTTAACAAAATATTAGCAAATAGAAATGAGCAATATATTAAAAGGATTATACGCTATTATAAGATAACTGGTAAAATATTTGAAAATCTATGCAATCCACAATATTAAGATGTGAAGGGGAAAAATCGTACGATATTAAAGCAGAAAAAACAATTGATAAATTTAAACGAAACATCTTTTTTGGGGGGGGTACTGAGGTTTGAACTCAGGGCTTCACACTTGCAAAGCAGGTGCTTTAGTGCTTGAGCCACACACCTCCAAG